ACAACTGCCACACAGAAGCCCTCACCGTCTCTGATAATGTCTCAAATATGAATAAGAATGTATGATAGCATATTGAGCTGGTCAGACACATCAGAGGTTCTGGGTCCTCTTTCTCTCTTCAGACTTACCTCTGGCTAACATGTCCCTGGGCTGAAGTTTTGCTCAAGTCCTTAGGTATCTTCCAAAAAGCTTAGATTTTTTTAAAGATTAATGAGAAGAAAGGGCTATAACATTGGGAGTACCATTTTTTAGATACCATTTCCCATCTCTTTTCTCATTTAATCTTTGGATTAAATTCTATCTTTATTCCCTATGAGATAGATAATATTTTCTCTATTTCATGGAATAAAAGTGAGAAACTGGTTGCTCAGACAGATTAAGTAACTCAGTCAAGGACACTCAATAATACCTTTTGAAAGAGTTAAACATTATGTTTATGTCTAAAGTGAAGTCATATTTACAGGTATTGAGACATAGACATAGCTTATATCAGTGGTTATCAAAGTTTGGTTTCCTCTGCAGCAGCAGCACCTGCTGAGAAGTTATTAGTGATGCCAGCTCTGGGCTTCAGCTTATGTGTACTGACTCAGAAGCTCCAGGGGGCCCAGCACTGCCTTCATAAGGCCTGCAGGGAAGCTGATGCACATTTAGGTTTGAGAGCCACTGGTTACGTCTGTTCTCATCATTCTGGTCTGCTCTCCAGCCACCGATAGCAAGTGCCCACAAGTTTTAGTACAAGCAGGAAGAAGTCTTGGTCACCCCAAGGATACACTGTCTTCTTGGGGATTCAGCGGTTTTAGCGAGGCTGAGAACTTTTCTGTGCTCTCTTGGTTCTCCCCGTTCTGGATAGAAAACATTTCTAGCCGTTGCCCTTATTTCCTATCTGTTTCTTTCACAGCCAAAGGGCAAATTGCGACCTGGAAACGCAATGATTTCTCATGGACAGAGACTTTACCATTTAACTTGGTCATCAAGTGTAACATCACATGATGGGAAAGTGATGGTTCAAACATGACAGTTTTCCCATTTTCCCTCATGATAACAATACAGTAGAGCCCCTTATCCATGGTGCTGCCTTTTGTTGTTGTTAATTCTCACCCCAGGATATTTTTTCCATTGATTTTTAGAGACAGTGGAAGCGAGCGGGGCAAGGCAGAGAGAGAAACATCAATTGGTTGCCTCCTGCATGCGCCACAATCAGGTCTGGGGATCCAGCCGGCAACCGAGTTAGGTGCCCTTGACCAGAATCGAACCCCAGATCCTTCAGTCCTCAGGCCGACCCTCTAACCACTGAGCCAAATCAGCGAGGGTCATGGTGCTGCTTTTTAAAGTTACCTGGAGTCAGCTATTGTCCAAAAATATTAAATGGAAAATTTCAGAAATAAATAATTCATAATTTATATACTTGGCATCAATTTGAAGAGCGTGATGAAATCTCACACTGTCCTGCTCCTTCCTGCCTGGGATGGAATCGCCCTTTTTTCCCACGTTTCCACGCTAGATACACCACCTGCCTGTTAGTGACCTAGCAGCCACCTTGGTGATCTGAATTTTGGAGAGAGAGACCACAGACACATACATTTTTTACAGTATATTGTTATAATTGGTCTCTTTTATCATTAGTTGTTGTTAATCTCTCACTGTGTCTAATTTATAAATTAAACTTTATCATAGCTATGTACCTATAAGAAAATACATAGTGGATACAAGGTTCAGTACTACCCAAGGTTTTAGGCATCCACTGGGGATCTTGGAACAAATCTTCCAGAGATGGGGGTGGGGGCAAACTACTAGTATTTTTCTTGTATTGTTCATCTCACGTTATAAAGTGCCTTTTATATATGTCCATTCATTTGACCCTGACACCAGCCTGTGAGCTAGGTTGAACTATAATTTCCATTTTAGAAAAGGGAAGCAGGCAGAGGGCAGAAAGTGAGTGACCCAGGGGTATGTAGTTGCTCAGAAGCACAGCCTGGCTTCATTCCACACTCCCCTACTCTGGGGCCTGAGCCCTTTCCTGACTTCCCGCTGGCTGACCCGAGGCAGGCAGCTTTTTTTTTTAATATATTTTATTGATTTTTTACAGAGAGGAAAGGAGAGGGATAGAGAGTTAGAAACATCAATGAGAGAGAAACATCGATCAACTGCCTCCTGCACACTCCCTACTGGGGATGTGCCCACAACCAAGACACATGCCCTTGACCAGAATCGAACCTGGGACCCTTCAGTCCACAGGCCGACACTCTATCCACTGAAACAGACTGGTTAGGGCTAGGCAGGCAGCTTTGGTGAGAACCAGAAGAGCCTCAGGTGCAGTGTTAGGCAGGCACAGAGCCAGGCAGGAAGCAGCAGCTGGACCTGCCGGGTTCTCTAAACCACGTGGCAGGATGGGAGAGAAAGTATAGATTTGGGGCGGGAGGGCAGGAGGGCTTAGTCAGAATCATAAACAATGAATATACCAGTAGAGGGCAGAGAGGAAAGCTAGAGGACTGGTCTTCAGGGTGCTGGTAGCCTGGATATCTGAGAAATACCGATTTCTCAGCCCAAAGCCTTCCTTGGAGAAATGTTTCCTGACCTGGGTCTCACTCTGGCTGAGACCTGTTTGCCTGCTCACCTCTTTGGGTATCACTGAGCCACTTCTCCACCATGAGAAATCACTGAGTTTCCAGGTTACCTATTAGCCCTTTGGCTTATCCCATCTGGTCATCTTGTCCTGCCCTTCACCAAGGCCACTTTTTAAACCCTACCATCAGACCCCAAATGACTCCTGAGCCAGGTGAGAAGCTGTGTGTGCGTACCCAGGTGTGCACATGTGTGTGTAGGGTAGTGAGTGGAATGGAGAGGCAGCAGAAGTAGCATGATGGCCTACTTTGATGAATGCAATCCTCACATTACATCCTGCAGAGTAGGGAGGATCATGTGTCATTCACAGGAAGGAAACTGGCTTCAGTGAGGCTGGAGGTACTTGTTTAAGGCCGCACCTCTGGGATTCCACCTAGTCTCTCTGACTTCCCTCAAAGGGGCCCACAGTGGGCCTCTGAGCATGGAGTAAAGGCTGTTGGCTTAGTAAAACTGCTTCCTTCATGTGTATCAGCCTCACAGATTAAAATCGTAATTTGGATTTTCAAAAACAAGCTACTTTTAATTTTAGTTTGTAGTCCTTCTGGGGACAATATATACCCAATCCTCTGCTTTGGGGCTCCCGCCTCCTACACCCTCCTTTGTCTGGCCTTTCTGATAGATTAGATACTAATCTGCTCTTGCCTTTCAAATATCTCTTCAGATAGAAGAGGCTGAGCTACTAGCACTGCCCTTCCCAGCTTGATCCTTGTCCCACACCCGACCCTTGTATGGGACTGCCATTGCACACCACCACTGGCAATGATGTCCAATGCCTATCTTTAACTGCCTGGTCTCTACACTGGAAGTGCTTATGTCATTGCAAATCTTCTCTTTAATCTGGAGTAATAACCATAAAAACAACAACAGTAGCAGTGACACTGGTCTCACACATTTGCTTTAATCCCAGAAGGTAGCTATAATTTTTATTACCTGCCTTCCTCTCTGCCATCTTCATCCAGCTTACTCAAGGCCATGTAGTTCCGAAGTACCAGAACCAGTGTTTGAACCTCGTCTTGTCTGAAGCAGAATGGTCTCAGTGTGCTTTCAAGTCTCTTCTCTGGGCTGCCAATGTTTACAAGGGCATTTTGGCTGCAGGGACAAGCTGGGTAGCTATGTTAGGCAATAGTCTAGTACAGTAATTTTTCCCAACTTAGCAGCAGTACATCTTTATTAATTATTTTGAAAAATTTCTAATGGCCATGTGCACCCTTATGTCGTCACTCCTGAATGGATCATAACCCAGAGTTAAAAGATAAAGATCTCATGAAATAAGTAAGCTATTTTCATGTCAGTTTTTATTTTAAAAGCACACACTCGCATTATTTCTTTACATGTATCTCAATGTATGAACATACACACATATGAACATCCTAATGAACATTGATTGCCCGGCTGCCAGAAGAGTGATCCCAATGATAATAATGATGATGGTGACTAGGGTACAATAACTAGCATTTATTGGGGGCTAATTATGTACTAGACAATCTCCTGAGTGCTTTGTGTATGGTAGCTCATTTAATCCTCACAAGGACTTTACTAGTATGAAGTAGGAACTATTGTCTCAATTTCCCAGTTGAGGAAACTGAAGCGGAGAGGATGAAGCAATGTACCTGTGTTCACAGAACTAGTAAGCAGGTGAGCTGGGATCCAAACCCAAGAGTCTGGCCCAGACTCCACACTTTTCCCTCCTAAGCTGCCTCCTAGACACATGGGTGGACACGTGATTGAGGTTGGAAGTCCCCAAGTACACTCTTTGTCCCAGTGAAAATTTTTCCGCTAAGGAGTGCTTCCCTAAAGAGGTTTCTGCTTAGCATTCTCAAGCAGCTAAATAACTTAAATTTATATTAAACACTTGTATTTTTACTTATATGATGAGTTAAGAAAATGAGTGTAAATATATTCACTATCATTGGGATAGCCACCTTATAATCAAACAGCTATAACCATAAGAAGTCACATCTAATTTTATATTCACAAATATTTAAAAGTCATTAAATAACAATACCAATTGAAGCTCAACACCAGGCTACACAATATTTTCTCCCTTTAAAAATGGTCCATATATTATTTAAATTTGACTAACACTATTCTCATTCTAGAAATGAGATGATCAGCTCTTTCAGAATATACAGCAACTGCCTCCACAAAAGCAGCGCCAGGTTTAGGAGATTTACGGTAAAACCTCCTTTCCTAGGACTTCTACTGGCAGTTTCTGGGAGAGCTAAGCTTCCCATCCATCTCAGAGGTTTGCTTTTCCTCTGGGAGATGTTTGTAATAGAAAAGCGTCATTTGGGATATTTATCAGCTTCTCCTGTCCCTCTGCTGTTTGGTGGGGCTGACCACGGGCAAGGATAAAATGAGCTGGTCATCTCAGGATCATGGACAACATGGAATCAAGGCTCAAGACTGTCCCCTATTTTCACTGTGAGAAGGGAAATGAATCTGTGCCCGTGTGCCAGAGGTGTGAAACGTGCATCTTGGCTAGGAAGATCTTCTCCACCAAAGAGTGGTTCCTAAGGGTCAGTGAGATAGCTCAGAGGAGGTTTCTAGTGAGCATTCTGGGACAGCTGGATAGCCTATATTTGTTATACTATTTTCAAAATATCCTTCAGACCACACAGGGGAAGGATTTCATCTATACCAGGTCCCGGATCGACCTCAGCAAGCAGGAGGGGGACATCATGAAATTCATGAACCAGATGCTGGATAGGACAATAGAGCAGAAGATGAGGGAGATATTGTACTGGTTTGGGAGCAGCACCCACCGGACTAAGGCAAATTACACACTCTTGCTGCTGCAGATGTGCGACCAGAAGTTACTACTCACTGCTGCCAATGTCATCACAGTCCTGTTTCAGAGGGAGCAGGATACCATTTTAGGTAAATGAGGCTACGGGTAGAGACCAGAGGGCCCAGAGACCAGGGAGTCAGACTCCTGAAGTTGGTAAAGGAACTACAGTTGTAGACAAACTTAGGTAGATTGGAGTTTTTCTGAAGGCAGAATAGAGTCCTTTGCCCTGACACCAGATCCTTTTTTCCAAAGGAGAACTTGCTGAATGTAACTCCCTTCTAGAAAATCGTCAAATGACAAATGGAGGAGGGTGTACCGAACTTTTAACTGTGAAGCCTTTAAAATGGATTTCTTTTCCCTTTGGCCCAGAAATGGCTAGTCTGTGTGTCTATCACTGAAGGCTGGTGTGATTCCTGCGTCAGTGAGCGAGAGATTGGACTGGCCTTGGGAGGCATGTGATGGGGAAGCTATTGAATTGTTTTGCCCTTTACCCTTCACTGTGCAGAAACCAGGCCAACAGGTCAAAACCTAGGGCTTTATTTTCTCACTCGTTCCATTATGTTCCTTGTTTGCACATAATATCTAGCTTGGAAGTGGAGTTTATCCAAGGCTGGAGACAGCAAAAGGGCTAAGTAAGGCTAGCACAGTTCTTAAAATTAGCTGTATCGGAATCCCCAGTAGGGCTTATAAAATCACAGATGGCTGGGCTCCTTCAAACCTCCTGGCTCAGCAGGTCTGACAAGTTGCACTTCCAACAAGTTCCTAGCTGATGTTGCTGGCTGGGACTTCACTTTGAGAGCCATTGACCTAGTGTGTTGGTGAGATCTTGGAAATGTTTGACCAGCTCAATCAGGGACCAAAAAGAACCAAAAAAGAGGCAAGAGGTAGATTTCTCAGGGGTCCAGGAGTGAAAGGTCCAGTGTGGGGAAAGCACAGGTTTGGTGAAGAGAAAAGCAGGCCGGGGGCGAGCTATCAGGTGAAGGAGTTTCAGAGTTTGAGGTCTTGAAGGATGGGAATTCCTAATGTCCATGAGACCTTACTTGTGGTTATAATTGTAGACTAATGGAATCCAAAAGGCTTTTAAGCTAGGTGAACTATGGCAATTAGGTCCCGGGATATGCTACTTGGCTTCTTTGCGCGTTAGGGAAGTGAAAGAATGGTAATCTGAAAGGAAGAAGTGATGAAAAAAAAAATTAGTCCGGCTCCTGGATTTCATAGATAAGGAAGCCATACTTCAGGGAATCTGAGTGACTTGAACTGGGTCACCCAGCCAAGGGGGTTGAAAACCAGGGCTCCCTTCCTGAGCATCTCCCACTGTGCAGTGCTACCCCTCACCACAGGGGAGGGCCAAACTACCGCAGGCCTGGCCTTTACATCCACATGCACTGCTCTGTGGTTTACTCTCAAAGGTTTTCATCATCCTCCACAGCAATTAGCGATATATATTAGGGTCGAGCCCAGTTACAGGATGTGCAACCTCCTCCTTGTTCTAGAGGAGCTTCTTTCTTAAAAAGTTAATTTTTTTTTTATTTTGACCAGGATACTCATTTATTCATACCATTGAAGAAAATTAAGCTGGAGCTTCAGAAAAGCAGTCCCTCTTTCAGCTCTTTCCCACAGCCCTCTCATGCTCTCCTTGTAAAAGAGCTCTGATACATTTTGCATTATAGGTAGGCTGGAAAAATCTAAGTAGGGGGCTTCTGTGACTTTTGCATAGAAACTCAGAGGCCCCAAATGAAAACAGACATAACTGGCCTGGCCCATTTTATGTAGATTTAAAAGAAACAAGTAGAAATTAAATAATTTACTGCCGTTTTTTTCTCACACACACCTGCTTAATGAACAACCTTGTCTTGATCTTTTGTTTTTCAGAACTTGGTCAAGACCCCAATCTTATGCTTTTATTTCCTGAGAAATACTACAACCCCCAGCTTGATACTTCAAATGTCTACTGGACAGCCAGAACCCAGAGCACATCCTTCCCTTTGTCCAAAGATTCAGGGGGAAAAAGCTTGCTTAAAAATGTTGGGTGGGAAGCATCTAATACTGGTAAGTTGGCTTGTAGTGAGAAAGCCAATAGCTATGAGTTTGGGCAGCTCCAATGGAGTTGGAGGGGCTGAGTGGGCAATAGCATCTGGGGATGACAGATTTGGGGAATTAACCTTCATTTTTCACTTATGCTGTGTTGGAATCTCTGGGAAGGGGAGACGCAAGGATAAAATCAGTTAGTATGACCAAAAGTCTCTAGCAAGGTTCCTCTGAGAGATACCTGAGACTAGAGATCAGAAAGGAAACTCCCAAGGGCTTCTTTGGAAGCCTCTCTCTGTCCCAGGCTAAGTCCCTTGTTTAGCCCCTGACCTGTGGCATGGTTGGCACCCCTAGAATTCAACCCACTCTTTATTTTTTCTTGTTTAAAGTATTACAAATAGTAGTACATATGTCTCCTCTCCCCCTCCCCCCATTGACCTTCCCTTGGTCTCCCCTACCCCGCAGCACTCTTTTTGAAAAATGCAATGGCTGTTTTTGCAGCACTGGATTCCTTGAACAGGAAATAGAAGCAGTAGGGATGTGAACCCTGATCTCAAGGCCTTTCTAAGTTGGACAGCAAAGCAAGACATATACATGAAACAATGACAGGAAATATAACACATAGACTCTAAACCATTTTTATATAGAAAATTTGAAAAGTAGATAGAATCTATCTATCTATCTATCTATCTATCTATCTATCTATCTATCTATTAAAAGCCAGTGACCAGAACACCATAACGACCTAAACAACCAGTTGCTATGATGTCCACTGTGGCCAGCGAACCAGCCCAATTGGGGTTGGGGCTGGTGGCCAACCTCCCACAGCCCCTCCCCCTGGCTGCCTTGCCCCTAATAGGCCTCTCCCACCCCGATTGAGGGCCCACCCTACCCCAATTGGCCCACATCCTTCCCCCTGCCTGGCCCTGCCCCTGATCGCCCCCCTCAACCCCAATTGGGGGCAGGGCTGGCCTGCCAAACTCCCGCAACCCCTCCTCCTGCACAGCCCCACACCAGATTGGCCCCTCCACCCTTGTCAGGGGCAGGGCCAGCTGGCCAATCACCCATGGCCCTTCCCTCAAGGCGCTGGCCCCAAATGGGCCCCTCCACCCCATTCGTGGGTGGGGCTGGCCAGCCCACTGCCCACACCCCCTCCCCATGGCCAGATCCACCCCAGATTAGCCCCCACCACCCCAATTGGCCCAAGGCCCCTCCCTCCAGCCAGCTCTGCCCCCGATTGGCCCCCCCACACCAATTGGGGGTGGGGCTGGACCGCCAACCTCCCAGGGGCCTTTTCCCCAGCCACTGACCCTTGATCAGCCTCCCCCACTCTATTTGGGGGTGGGGCCCACCAGCCAATCGACTGCGGACCCTCCCCCCAGCCAGCCCAGCCCTGATTGGGCCCCGATCTGGGCGGGCTGGCTGGCCAACTTCCCACCATCTCCTCCTCCCAACAGGCCTGGCCCCAATCCACCAATTGGGACCAGGCTGGCTGGACCCCACCCATGCATGAATTCCTGCACTTAGGCTTCTAGTAGTATAATAACCATTCACATAACTATCACCAAACTTCAACAATGATCAACATCTTACCAATTTATTTCATCCATTTCCTCTTTTAAAATTGTTTAAAATGCTTCCTTAATTTGAAGGAAATTCCAGATGCCATTCCTGAGCAGGGCAGGCTTCAAAACTACAGACATCTCCTTTAGCTGGGAAGGCTGGAGAGTACTTGCATATTTGGTTAGGGAGCTTCTAATTTCATTTTCACAGAAGAAATGAAAAAACTCCAGTAGCCTAAGGGCAGACTCTGATGAGTTCTGGCCTGGAGTTACACAGAGACAAACCATGTTCCTTTCTCTGGCTTGGTTCTAGAGGGACAATGGAGGAGTTCGCTCCAGTGCATTTCCGAGATGAATAGCCTATATTCCAGAAAAGCTCACATGCTCAAGGCAGGCTACACCTCCTCCAATCTGTTGGTTGACCTGGATGTTGTCAGAGACTTGTCTTCTGGAGCCAGCAAATACCGGGACTTCATCCGTCAACTGCCCATCCATATCTCCAAGTATATTCTAAGTATGCTGGGATGTATTGGGGATTTCTCAAGAGTCTTCCCTTAGCAATCCAGTTTATAGGGTCCCAGGTTTATCTCTTTTCCCCCCAGGTATGCTCGATAAAAACACCCTGAACAGATGTGCCGCTGTGAGCCAGCACTGGGCTGCACTGGCAAAGAAAGTCAGGAGGGACTTCTCCATACATTTGTTCATTCACAATCAGATCGCCTTACTGCAGGTACTCCTGTCGGGAGGGGTGGTCTGCAGACTGGCTTTACTTCCTCGTGGAAGCTGGCTGACAGGAGCCTTTCAGTCCACCCAGTAGACCCTTTGAATGGCCTCCTGTTCCATGTTGCTGCTTCACAGTCTTCAACAGTCACTTCCTTTTTGTGTGGACTCCCCATTAATCTATACCATTGTGAGTACATTGAGCAGGGAGAACAGGTAGAAACCTATCAGGAAGAGAAAGGCAGAGCCTCGGGAAATCATGTGAAGCAGGGACTCACCTCCCCACCCCTGCCCCAACACGTGACCCCCGGCCCAGAGAGCTGCATTGTGTCTTAGGCCAGTGGTCGGCAAACTCATTAGTCAACAGAGCCAAATATCAACAGTACTTCTTCAAAATAGACTCACCCAGGCCGAAAACCAACTTCTGCGCATGGGCCACGAAGTTTCAATCGCACTGTACATGCGCCCGCACATGGTATTTTGTGGAAGAGCCACACTCAAGGGGCCAAAGAGCCGCATGTGGCTCGCGAGCCGCAGTTTGCCAATCCCGGGCTTAGGCAATCAGGAAGTCATGTATATGTTTCTAGGTCAGCCTGACACAGTACACAGATGTCTACAAGGCCACAAAGTCTATTTGTAAGTTAAAATGCAATTTTCTATGGCATTTTTACTTCTGTTTTTTGCCTGAAGCCTAATTCAAATCAAGGATTCTTGGGAGCTAGGATTTTTCCCAGCAGAGACAGATGAGAGAAGGGGAGAAGCAGGCGTGGTGAGGCAGATCATCCTCTGGAAAGCTGGGAATGGTTGACCATCTCTTTCTGGTCTTGTTCCAGATCTTTAATATCATTATCCTCCTTAAGCCAGTCTACACACACTATTGTCTTACTGGCCAGGCCCAGGCCTCCCTGAGTCAGAGCTTACCCCTCTTTCAGATCTTGCCAAGCACTAGTTTAACCTTCCTCTCAGAGAGAGGAACCAAGAGTAGCCATTTTCTGTTTTTTCCCCCAGGGGTCCTACACAAAGGGAATAGATCCCACCTATGCCTGCAAGCTTTTCGTCCCAGTTCCTAAAATGACAGATGACATAAAGCGCGTACGTGCGAAAAATCCGAAATGGAAACTGAGAACAAAGGTGGGTTCTGATGGCATCGCGGGCAAATAACTGTGAGAGTCATCTCTTACTGGCCAATGAAGGCTGAAGTCCAGGCTCAGTCCTTACATAGCGTATAGGAAATGGGAAGATATGGAATATAGCATATGCATATAGGGTATTGGAAGTGATATTCCCGAAGGAAGACCAGAATTCCGTGCTATGTGTCCTTCAGCTTAAGTTACTTCCTTTCTTTAAGCCTTAAATGCCTCATGTATTAAACAAATGGATTGATTGGGTTGTCCTCTCAGGGTTTGTCCTTACTTCAAATCCCATTGCTATGTCCCCAGAACCAAGCCATCTGGTGCAGAGCTCAGAGCCAGGAGCAATGTCAGTGATAGTTGGGATTTTCTTCCACACCCATCAGTCCATGCATCTAGAGCAGTGATGGCGAACCTTTTGAGCTTGGCGTGTCAGCATTTTGAAACACCCTAACCTAACTCTGGTGCCGTCACATATAGAAATTTTTTGAGATGTGCAACCATAGTAAAACAAAGACTTATATTTTTGATATTTATTTTATATATTTAAATGCCATTTAACAAAGAAAAATCAACCAAAAAATGAGTTTGCGTGTCAAACGTGTCATAGGTTCGCCATCACTGATCTAGAGGCTACAGGAGTCTGTGGCTCTGGAATGAGAACAGGAGGGCCAGTCCAGAATGTCCAGGGTCCAGAATGAATTAAACTTTCTCACCTTTCATGTCCAGGTTCATTCTGATTCTAGGATGGAAGGGGAGAGTTACTTAACCATACATCTCCCTATCAAATCTTAGGCAATAATGAAGAGCAGATGGAAGACCCTGAACTCTATGTCCTGCCTATCCAGGCATGGTTCATTCCTAGAACCATGAGATTACTGCTTCCTCCTCTTTGCTAGAGGGCCTTCTATTTTGAAACTATTAAATGGGTCCTAAAAGAATATTTAATGAGGGGTGGTCAGACTGTAGCTTCCCATAAGAAAACTGTATTATAAATTATAAATTGAGAAATAGAAGTGTCCAGAGAGCCCATCTAGTTCATATGTCTGTACAGGCCAGACAGGCCCATGAATGAGGGAGGTGGTGGTGTAAGTAGTAAAGGACAGTAGAACAGTCATGGGTTAAGCAGCGGTTCTCAACCTGTGGGTCGCAACCCCTGCATATCAGATATTTACATTATGATTCATAACAGTAGCAACATTACAGTTATGAAATAGCAACGAAAATAATTTTATGGTTGGGTCACAACCTGAGGAACTATATTTAAAGGGCCAGAAGGTTGAGAATCGCTGGGTTAGAGGGTTCACTTCCCATCTAAAGGGGCCAGTTGCTACTCAGCTAGAGCTAATTATTGCCATGGGAGACTGTGAAGCTCAACCTAGGCCACCTGAACTTTTGAGAGAAGTTAGAAACCTGAATTATCATGTGACATTCTTCGCTTTTTTAAATGCTGGCAACTAATTAAAATCATTTATTTTTAAATATGGGCCAAGGCAAATACATTTGTTTACCTCATTTGACTTGCAATTTTTTAAATCTTTGAGTTGGTCCATGCACCCATTCTATAGATAAAGAAACTGAGGCACAGAGAGTTTCAGGATCCTAACCGGCAGAATAACAGGCAAATACAAGTGAAATGCTGATCTGCTCTTCCCCAGCCTGTTGCTCTGTTGGGCATAATGAAACTAACATGCTTCTTCCTTAGGTGAAAGAGCTATAATTGCCTGACAAAAAAGAACCATCCAGACAGTGTTATATATTTTAGAAATGTATAATTTAGGAAAGAGAGACAATGTGGAGGCCAGATGAGGACATGTAAAGCAGTGAGACAAAACAGTTAAGGGGTCTGCGAGGGAAAGGTGGAGGTTGAGTGCTACTGAGGGATACTGATTGCAATGGTTACTGAGCTTAAACAGTGTGCCAGGAATGGTGCCTCAGGCTTTGTACACATTATGTGCTTGATATTCACCATAGGACAGGTATATAGCTTCAGTTTATGGATGTGGAAATGCAGGCCACGTTGCTGGAAAACTTGCCCAAGTTCCCATAGCTGGTCAGTGGCAGAGCTGGAATTTGAACTCAGGTCTTGTTCCTCCCAATGACTCTACCATGTAGATTCTAGGTTGTCAAAACTTAATTGATGAGGAAGAGCCAAGGAATTCCAGCCCTACTGTGAGAAGCCAGGGAAGCCTCATTTAATTCAAGGCTGCTTGGACTCTGGAGGAATGGCAGTTGGACAGATTCTGCAGAGGCTTGTAGGTGAATATCACTAGTTGGTTAAGATTAAAAAGGAGAGTAAGCTGAGGAAGGCAGCCATCCTGAGGAAGAGTCTACAGGCATGACGCCACCTAAGGTTTGGAAGGAGACTTAGGAAGAGGTGTCCCTAGGTCTGCCAGATGCAAACATGACGGTTTGGTCTTCTTTGCTTTCATGACAAACTCACCCTGTGTTTTGGTTGTCTGGTCGTGTATTATTTTCTGCTTTTGGATGGGGGAGAGTATGCCTGAGAAGAAGCATGGAACTTTCATCTGTGCCAGAATTCAGCATGCCTGGCAGGCAATAGCTGCTCAGGAAGTATGTGATTAAGGGAGGGAGAGAAAAAAAATAGGGAAGAAAGGAGAAAGAGGGAAGAAAAAAAAGGAAGGGAGGGAGGGAGGGAGGGAGGGAAACGGAAAGCAAGCACCTCTGCTGAGGTTGGGTATACTGATTTCTCCTCTGAGACTCAATACCTCATCTGTAAAATGTTGAGAACACATTGTAGGGTGAATGATGTACTTTGTGAGGCAGCTGTAAGGAGAAATTAAGGTTGCAGATGGATGAAAACTTTGAAGGGCAAATGAAAATAGAGTGTGTAACAGTAATTTCACACATTGCAGTTTCCATGAATATACTTTGTACTGTTAAGTATATGTAATGTAAATGCGAAACCCTCCTTCCATAAAATGGTTGGTCAAAAGGGATCTATGCCTTTATCTGTGAGTATACCCTTTGTGAACTCATTTTTTTAAAAGTTGGGCATCAGCAACATTGAAAGTTCATGGAATCAAAATGCATATGAAACACAAAGAAATAGGAGAAGAATTAGGACCTTGGATTCAATATTTTCTAACGTACAGATGACCTTGCTGCCTGCTCCTTGGCCCTTCCCCATGACCACATAGCAACAGCCACAGCTTGAAGAGGAAGAATCCCTGGGCACTTGTGTCCTTGCCAGGGGAGACTCGCAGTGGTTCTCAACCTTCTTAATGCTGCGACCCTCTAATACAGTTCCTCATATTGTGGTGACCCCCAATTTCATTGTTACAAATTGAATATAATTAAAGCTTAGTAATTAATCACAAAAACAATATGTAATTATATATATATATGTTTTCTGATGGTCTTAGGCGACCCCTGTGAAAGGGTCGTTCGACCCCCAAAGGGGCCACGACCCGCAGGTTGAGAATCGCTGCTCTAGGGGATACAGGAGTAAAGTTGCCACTGTACTTTGACTCCAAGTGTTCCTTTGTTAGAATGACAACAACTTGTGGACAGCATACCAGAACCAGGAAACCCAGCAGATCCAGATGGAGGAGAGAAATGTCTTCTGTGGGACTTACAACATCCATATTCTCTCTGACACGTAGGTACTATGGTCTGAATCTAGGTCTTCAGAGATCCTTAAATACTGGCATCTTAGGATTCCCATGACCCTGTTCACTTGGAAAGGCAATCCTTCCTTATCTCAAGCTCTAAATTAACATGAGAATAGGTGCTTGATGTTTGCACCATTTTCAGCAGAGTGGCGGATATTTTCCCCTTATAAATTTTGGGTATACTGACCAACAAATTTATGCACAATTTATGTGCATAAAATCTTTCTTTTTTGAAATATTTTTATTGTTTTATTCTGATTTCAGAAGTAATATATGCTTAGTGTGTGTGTGTGGGGGGGGGGGAGTCCACCAAATGCCAGAAAATGTATAGATAAAAGCAAAGATCTCCTATAATCTTGTCTTCTAGAGATAATCACCATTAATACTGGTGTCTATTCTAGAATTTTTTTACAAAGCTGGGGGCTTGGCCGGCCTGAAAACCTCCCCCAAAAGGCCCTTGGCCCCTCGCCCAGGCTGGCCACGCTCCCCAATGGGGATCCCTACCCCGATGGGGGCATGGCCAGCCTGAAAACAGCCCTCAGCCCCTCACCCAAGCTGGCCATCAGCTCCTTGCCCAGGCTGGCCATGCCTCCCAGTGGGGAACCCCACCCCAAAGGGTGTGTGGCCAGCCTGCAAGCCACTCCAGCACCTCACCCAGGCCACACCGCCCCTAGTGGGTACCCCCAACCCAATGAGGGTGTGGCTGGCCTCCAAACCACCCCAGGCCCCTTGCCCAGGCCTGCCCTGCCCCCCAAGGGACCTCTACCCTGATCCAGGACCCCCTTCAGGATAGACCAGCCAGCCCTCACTTGTGCACCTGGTATCTATCTATACTATCTATACTAATAAAAGGGTAATATGTTAATTAGACTGGGAAACCTTCCAGACAAAGCCAACGTGGTGAAGCTGAGGCAGAGGCAGTTAGGGGTGTCCAGGCCAGGAAAGGAGGGCAGTTTGGAGTGATCAGGCTGGTGGGGGGTCAGTTGGGAGCAATCAGACCGGCAGGGGCAGGCAGTTAGGGACGAGCAGGCCAGAAGGGGGGTGAGGGGCAGTTAGGGATGAGAAGGCCAGCTGGGGGGGCAGTTGGGGGCAAGAAGGCTGGCATGCAGAGTGGTTAGGGGTGATCAGGCAGGCAGACAAGTGAGCAGTTAGGAGCCAGGGGTCCCAGATTGTGAGAGGGATGTCCCTATGGAATCAGGCCTAAACAGGCAGTCAGACATCCCCTGAGGGGTCCCAAATTGGAGAGGGTGCAGGCCAGGCTGAGGGACACCCCCCATGCACAAATTTCGTGCACCGGGCCACTAGTGCTATACATATTTCTGTAACACACTCCAGCAAAATACTGTGACTATCTTTCCATGTTAAATATGAAAATAATATTTATGATAACTACATAGTGTGACATCATTTGGATATGCTGTAAGAAGACCCTTTAATAATCAACTTTCTGCCATACTTTAGGCCTAGGATTTCACTCTTCATTCATAAGGTTTTGTGAAGGCCATCTCTATTTTATTTTTGGCTGTGAGTCACACTAACAAATTGCATATTGACCAGTCCTTAAGGGAAAGGTGGAGCAGATAGGAGACAAGCAAAGTTGACTTTTTATGAGTGGTATGGCGATAAATACTCTTTAGAAAAGATGGTGCCTGGTTGAACTCAAGATATGACAAATGCAATGAGAACAAAATTGCTTCTCATATTTAGAGTGACCATACATCCCTTTTTACTAAAACAATCCCACTTTACTCTGTGATCCTGGGGTAATTAATAATAGTGTCCCCTTTCAAGGTAAAAAATATTTGGATAATAAATTATTTGGTCATCCTGATCATATTTTATATATTTCCTAATAATATTATGACTGGAAAATTAACCAACTCACCTTTTTTTTTTAAATCAGACTACAAGGTCATTGAAGTCAAGGTCCATATCGTACTCATTTTTGTATCCCCCATGGCTCCTATTAGCTCAGAACTTGGAACTTAATATATGTTCATTTGATATTGGTTAAGAAAAATTAAAAAAAAAAAGAAATAGTGGTATATGCAGTGGGTATAGATAGGGCTTCCCAACTGTGTTCCTCTGAGGTTTTCCATGAAAAAAGGTTTCTGTGGTTAAAGAAGTTTGGGGAATACTGCATACTCTATTCTCCTATTCTCTCTCTTGGGGATTTATCATACATTAATTAGCAGATTTTTTTTTGGTAGTTTTTGCCCTTTGTCTTTAGGTTTTAAATTTACCCCAAATGGATTTTTTTGTTATGCTATGAGGTAGAAATCTATCAGGGCCCATTAACACGAGGCCTTTATCTCAGCAACTGTCCTTGTTGGAAGGCCTTGACTTTTCGTATACTTGCAGGTGAAACCACTGTGCTAGTGAGTTCCAGGCAGGACACTAACTCCCTTTTCATGGGTCATCCTTTTTCCTGGCAACTCAGGTGGGACAGAAATAGAATCATCCACTATTCTGGGGGAGATGTGGTAGCTGTGTCATCCAATCGGAAGATCCAGCTTCTGGATGTCTCACAAGCAAAGGAGATCCCCGTCCAGTTCCGAGGCCATACTGGGAGTATTCATGCCCTCTTCGTGTGTGAGGAGGAAAACGTTCTCCTGAGTGGGAGCTATGACCTGAGTATCAGGTGAGTGGGCCAAGGAGCTGTGGTTCCTCACAAACCCAGGTTTGTGGAAGAAAGAAGTACATGTACTTTTTCCTTTTTGTAGTTACTGAAAAGTTTTGTAGTTATTGAAAGTTATCCTAAATAACTGTGGGACCTCTAGAACAGTCCACAGCATTTTGCTTTTTTGGCAAGGTAAAAACCAATAATTTGTATATTGTTTAAACTTTGGATGAGATAGGCTTGTAACAATGATCAGATCTACTAGTATTTTCTAGTTGAAGACTGTGAATCAGAAAGTATATTTTTAGCATTCCTAGATGAAGGCCCAATTTATATTTCCTTTTATAGATTCCATCAGGGAAAGTATTTTTTGTGGGTTTGAAATATTGTGTAGAAGTAAGATAGTGTTTGAAATATATTTATTTTTAAAGAATATAAGAAGGACCATTGTACTCATTACTCAGGCCAAGAAATAAAACATTGTTAGTCTCCAAATCCCATTATGTGCCTTTCCCTTATTGCTTCTTTCTCCTTCCCAACCAGAGGTAATGTTATTCTAAATTTTATACTAATTATTCCCTTATATTTTTATAGGCTTATTTATAGTTTTTCTACGTAGTTATATATCTCCAAATATATCTATTACGTTGGTCCATTTTTGAACTTAACATAAATGGAACTGTTTTAAAAATTCATCCATATTTGATTTTTTACATTGAACTATGATTTTGAGATTCATCCATATGATGTAGGCAGCAATAATTAATGTATTTTTACTGAGATATAGTGTTTTATTGGATGAATATATCTTAACTCATTTATTTATTCTGTTGTTAATGGATATTTGGATTGTTTCTAAGTTTTCTATTCTTTCAAGGAGTGCTGCCATAGGTTTTCTTGGATTTGTCTCCTGGTGCCTGTATATATGAGTTTTTAGAAAAAAAATTTATTGGGGATATAATTGGCATATACCATTTCTGTGTTAGGTATAAACAAAACCCATCACCACGCATGGTTACAGTTTTTTGTTGTTATGATGAGAACTTTTAAGATCTCTCTTAGTAACTTTCAAACATATGGCACAGTATTGTTAACTGTAGTGCATGAATTTCTTATCTTTATTTTTGACAGTATTGCAGGTGTACTCCATTTCCCCTTACTTTGCACCCAGCCATGCCTCCTCAGGTATTCCTCACACTATTGTCTGGGTCTATGGGCTATGCATATATGCATATATGTTCTTTGGTTGATCTCTTCCAATAACCCCTACCCCACGCTCCTCTGATATCTGTCAGTCTGTTCCATGTAGCCATGCCTTTTGTTTGCCAGTGCATTTTGTTCATTAGGTTCCATATATAAGTGAGATCATGTGATATTTGTCTTTTTCTGACTGACCTATTTCACTTGGCATAATCTCTAGGTCCCTCCATGCTGTCACAAAGAATAAGAGTTCCTTTTTTTATAGCTGCACTACATAGTATTCCATTGTGTAAATGTACCTACAACAGCTTTTTTATCCATTCATCTACTGATGGACACTTGGGCTGTTTCCAGATCTTAGCTATTGTTAATGCTGCAATGAACCTAGGGGTGCATATATTCTTTCTTATTGATGTTTTAGGTCTTTTGGGATATATCCCCAGAAGTGGGACCTCTAGACCATACAGCAGTTCCACTTTTAATATTTTAAACTAGAGGCCCGGTGCACAAAAATTTGTGCACTTGGTGGGGAGGGAGGGTCCCTCAGCCCAGCCTGTGCCCTCTCGCAGTCTGGGTCCCCTCAGGAGATAACTCCCTGCTGGCTTAGGCCTGCTCCCGGATGGCAGAGGGCAGGCCCAATCCCTAGGTGCAGCCCATGGTCGGGCTCAGAGCAGGGCTGATTGGGGAGTTGGGGCGCCACCCCCTGTCATGCACAGAGCAGAGCAGAGTGTGAGGTTGAGATGCCGCACGCACAGAGTAGGGCCTATAGGGGAGTTGGGGCACCACCCCCTGTCATACACAGAGCAGAGAGGAGGAGAGGATTGGGGCACCGCCCTCTATCACCACAGAGCAGGGCCGATCAGGGGGTTGGGGCACCGCCACTGTCACACTCAGGGCAGGGCTGATGGGGAGGTTATGGCTCTACCCCATCACACACAGAGCAGGGCCCATGGGGGGGTAGGGGGTTGGGGCGCCACACCCTGCCACACACAGAGCAGAGCCAATCAGAGGGTTGAGGCGCCACACCCTGTCACACACAGAGCTGCAGGGCGATCAGGGGGCTGGGGAGCTCCCCCCTATCAGGCACAGAGCAGGGCTGATCAAGGGGTTGGGGCGCCTTCCCCTGTCACGAACAGAGCAGGGTGCATAGCGAGGTTGTGCCTCCCCCCATCCCCCCGTCACACACAGAGCCACAGGGAGATCAGGGAGTTTGGGCGCTGCCCCCTGTCACGCTGATCCCGGTGCTGGGAGGCGTACTACCCTTTTACTATATAGGACAGAGGCCTGGTGCATGGGTGGGGGGCAGCTGGTTTGCCCTGAAGGGTGTCCTGGATCAGGGTGGGGGTCCCCACTGGGGTGCCTGGCCAGCCTGGGTGAGGGGATGATGGCTCTTTGCAGCTGGTCACACACCCTTCAGGGTGGGGGTCCCCACTGGGGTGCCTCGCCAGTCTGGGTGAGGGGCTGAAGGCTGTTTTCAGGCTGGCGGGTGACGGAAGCTCCCAACAGCTCCTTTTTTTTCTTTTTCTTTTTTATTCTGGGCCAGCTTTAGCTCTGAGGCTTGGCTCCAGGGCTGCTGAAAGCAGGTATCTGGTTTGTTTGGGTTCTATAATTGAAACACTGTTTCAACTCCAGCTCTGAGATCCTGGCTGGCTGAATGCAGGTTTCTGGGGTTTTGTTTAGCTTCTATATTTGTAACAATGTTTCAAACTGCAAGATCAGAGGCCAACAAAACAGGCAGGGAATTTTGGAGTCCTCCATCACTGAAGCAAGCAAGCCTCATGTTAGTTTCAAGCTGCCTGGCTGCCGCCCGCCATCTTGCCTGGCAGTTAATTTGCATATTGCCCTGATTAGCCCATGGGAAGTGTAGCAAAGGTTCCATCAATTACCCTTTTTGTCTTTTATTAGATAGGATTACAAATTGAAACATCGATGAGAGAGAAACATCAATCAGCTGCCTCCTGCACACCCTTCTACTGGGGATGTGCCCGCAACGATGGTACATGCCCTTGACTGGAATTGAACCCGGTGCCCTTCAGTCCTGAGCCAAATCGGCCAGGGCTTATTCTCCTTTTTGAAGGGAGTACATCTGTAGCAAGTATATTTAAGTATCATGCTTGCTGTTACAACTTCGATTTATAAGTTTATAAAATCAAAAAATTTTCTTCTATTCCTATTCAACAAGTGTTTATCAAATACATTTTCTGTATGTATTTAGAAAAACAACCTGGACACATGGTCGGCCATGTTGCTAGAGATGGAAATTCAAAACATGGGTTTTTTTAGACTACTGGGACATGGTCAAACACCCTGTAGGTGCATAGCAGGTTCTGACAAACAGGTAAGGCCATAAGAAACTTGGGAGTATTAGAAGAAAATCTCCCCATTTGAAGAATGTATTATTAATAATAATTGTTATATTTTATCATTAATCATATGTTATGCCAAATCTAGTAATAACTGTATGAGGCAAGTGCCATTATTATCCCATTTACAGATGAGGAAACTGAGGTACAGAGTTGTTTATTAAATTTTCCAAGATCACACAGCTAGTAAGTGATGGACCTGGGCTTGGACCTCAGGCATCCTGGCTCCAGAGTCTACTAACTAAGCATTTCCCTGTGACCTGCCACAGAAATAACCTGGCTGAAGTGGAAATTTGTAATAATGATAGTTAAGAGACCTCAGGCAAGCCTGTTTATTAAACAGCTGTGTGACACATACATGTTTCCATATATCTATTAGATATGCTTCAGAAATATACATAAAATATTTTGGATCTCCATGGCTGTAGTAATTCTTCTATTTCTATTATTCAGCAAGTGTTTATCAAATATATTTTCTATATGAATTTAGATACACAACCTGGATACATGGTTGGCCAAGTTGCTAGAAACAGATATTCAAAACATGCTTTTTTTAGACACTTAGGACATCGTTAAACACACGTAGGTGTGTGTTGGCTCCGACAAACAGGTGAGGCCGTAGAACAGTTGGAAGATCAGCTCTACCAGTGAATCAGTGCCATGAATTTTAGGCCTGGTGGTCATTCCAGGAACCCTTCCACCTATTACCATGTAACAGTTATCGAGCATTTTCTACACGTAGAAAATGTTATGTGCCTTAACGTGGGGTTTCTCAACTGCAGCCCTATTGACATTTAGGGCTGGAGAATTCTTTCTGTGGAGACAGTCCTGTGAATTGTAGGAGGTTTAACAGAATCCTTGAACTCTATACACTAAATACCAGGAGCACCTCCATCCCCGCTTGTGACAACTAAAACTAACTTCAAGCAATGTTAAATGTTCCCTGGGGGTAGAAATCACCCTGGGTTAACAATCACTGCATTTGTGAATTTAATTTGTCACAAAAATCCTATGGGGTAACTATTAATATTATCACTTCCATTTTATCAATCAGGAAATGAAGCCTACACAGAAATTAAGTAGCTTTCCTAAAGTTACACCTAATAGGTATTATAACTGAGATTAAATTCCAGGTCTCTGAGCTTGATCAGGAAACTTTTCTACCTTACAACTACTTTTTGATCTATAGGAACACTGTACAGTATGAACCCTTCGGTCCTAAGAAAATCTGGAAAACATTTTTTTTGGCCTAATTCCTGCAGATCCTGGGATCTGAAAAGTGGGGCTTGCATACGAATCTTCACTGGCCACCAGGGGACAATCACTTGCATCGATTTATATAAGGAAATGCTCGTGTCTGGAGCAAAAGATTGCCAGGTGAAAGGTGAGAGGAAATGCCCTTAACTTTCTAAGAAGTTTCCCCAAATCCATAGGTTGCCATATTTTGGTCATTTCTACAGGCATCCACTTTTTTTTTCATCCATCCACCCATCTATATACCTATTGATCCATTTCTTTGACAATTATTGGTTGAATATGTACAATATGCTAGACACTGTGTGAGGTATTAAGGAAATAAAATGAGTATTATATGACTCTTTCAATACAGCTTTTTATTTCCTTCAGAGGTTCATCATTGCCTAATGAAAATAGATATATAAATATATGATGGGTAATATAATAAAATATGTGACCAATAACAACTGCCACTCATTGAGCACTAACTTTTTGACTGTGTTAGATGCTTTATTATTTAACCCCCATAAGAACACTATGAGGTGGATACAGATGAAAGATCCAAACTCAGAGAGAAAGACAATTTCCCCTAAATTAAAGCTGCTGAGTGGTAGAGTGTCTGACCCTAAATCATACACTCCGAACCAACATGCAGAGTTCTATGGGACTGTGGAAGTAAGAGCAGGTGGGAAAGCAGCATGGACAGGATGCTATTTAGTTCTAGAGATAGAGAGAGAGAGTGTGGAGGACATTCCAAGTAGAAGGAAGAGCACAGGCAAATCCATAGAAGGTTGAAGAAGAAAATGGTATATTCAGGGGATTTCCCCTGGCTGGTCTGGCTGGGTGTAGTGTGGAAGGTAATTTGTTTGTGGCCAGATTATTAAGGACATTTTGCATCATGGAAGGAAACTGAACCTTATCCTATAGGACATGGAAAGCTACTAGTACAAATGCATCTTAAGCTGAGGATTGACATGATCAAATGTGCTTTTAAGAAAGATAACTCTAGTGATGGTGTGGAAGAAGGATCTGGAGAGCAGTGACCACGTGGAGATAGGGGACAAAGTGAGACACTACTCAGTCTGGACACTGTGGTGTTTTTATAGTATTGGAGAGCAGGCAAGTGTGAAGAAACTCAGGTGCGAGTTTACATTAAATGGCATAGACTCCCTGAAGGGAGATGTCTAGAGGGGGAATTGGCAGGATTTTACCACCAATTGGATATGAAAAGTGAGAAAGATAGAAGCACAATTGATGAGGCCAGAATTTAAACTCAGGCCACTGGGGATATAGAAGTGTCATCGATGTAAATAGGATGTAAATAGGATGAATAGGGGAATAGTAGTGATACCATTACAATAATCTGGTTATTAATTAACAGAAACATAGTAAAGAGGAGACTAAATAATATAGGCATGCTATTTATACAGCTTTGCCAGAAAGCTACAGTTTAACATTCTTCAAGTCTGTTCCCCACAGATCAACGGGTTGAAGGGACTGGACAATAGGTGCATGCCCAGTAAGGTCTGAATGATTTGGGAAGATGCTTACCTGTCAGTCACAACTGGGAGTGAGTCAGAAGACAGAAGGGTGTGAAATCTGAGACACTTAACTCCAGAACAAAGGGAATTCTCTTTCTTGGCTCTTGTGCTCTGGATCTACTGTGGCTGGGAACTCACTCCCTGGAATTCACCCATGTGGCTCACAGCCATGTGGGACCCACACAATGGACTAATGGACTAACGATAATTTAATACTATATCAGACCCAGCTCCACCCTAGAACGAAAATTCTGGAAACTGACAGTGCTATGGGTTCTGCTGGAGGCCCAGCTATGTATTTTCCAGGGCTGGATTAAGAGACATGGGACTGTGCAACCCAAGAAATATAATTCCATGCCAGTAAAAACCACCCTTTCTCCCATGTGAATCTTAGAAAATTCCTCTCTAAAGATATTGTAAGAACCCCACCTCCACTAGTGACAGGGAATTGTAACCTACCAAATCTTCTGGTAACAATAGGGAAGAGTGAGTAATGGAGGAGAAGGTAATGGCTTCAATTTTGAACATGTTGAGTGTGGTAGGCAGAATAATGGCTAACCAAAAATATTCACATATTAATATTCACATCTTAATTCCTGGAATCTATGACTATGTAACTTTGTATGGCCAAAGGGACTTTGCAGATGTAATTAAGTTAAGGACTTTAACATTGAGAAATTATCCTTGGTTTTCAATGTCGGGCCATCGGTAATCACATGGGTCCTTAAAACTTTATTGTCTGTGATCAAAAGGAGATGCGACTATGGAAGAATGGCCGGAGAGATGTATTGTTGCTGGCTTGAAGATATAAGAAGGAAAACATGAGCCAAGGAATGTAGGTGACCCTAGAAAGTGGAAAAGGCAAGGAAGTGGATCCCCTCCCTCATAAAGGAACACTGCCCTGCTGACACCTTGATCTTAGGTCATGTCAGATTTCTGTAAAATAATAAGTATGTGTTGCTTTTAGCGTCTAAGCTTGTGGGAATTTGTTACAGCAGCAATAGAAAGCTAATAAATTGAGTATGGGATTCCCAAAGTTACCCAGGTGAGAATTGCAGTAGGAAGATACATGTGTGACTACACCAGCCTGGAGTTCCAGGTATGTTGATTTGGTGTTATCAATAATAATGAAAGATGGAAGCCTTAGGTATGGATGAGAAGTTCCCTGCAAATCCAGAGGAAAAAGTGACAAGAAGAAAAGCAAGGGTCCCAAAAACCACATCATATTAGGGGTAGGTGGAGGAAAAAGATGTGGAAAAGGGAGAAAGAGTGGTGACACATACACAAACACTCAGACCTGCTTAAGATACTCCCTACCTTTTTGCCCTCCCCGACCTGAATGTGTCTTGTTGCCATGATTGCTTTAAGGAATAGAGCAGAAAGGATGAAAGGGTGAGGATCTGAAGATGCAAGGGCAGACAAGGCCTCAAGCTTGAGAGAATCCTGTGAGACCACAGGCAGGACCATAACTAGGGCAAGGGGAGTTAGGCCCTTAATTCAGGTATAAAACTTGAGGGAGCACCAATAAAACCACAATAAACAAATTATACATTTTAATGCAGTATGTAAAAGTCAGAATTAATACACAAGATGAAAAAACTATCAAAAGATCGCTCTTATCCTAACCCTGGCCCTGCCAGCAGCCCCTGGGCTCTTCCCACCTGCCTGGGTTACCAACACCCAGGAGAAAGAGACAATTGGAGACCTGAATGGTAACCCCACATGTTTTAAATTCTTTAAACAGAGCCCCTTCCCAAGAATATTTTAATTAACATTTCAAGTTTCACATATCCTATATAATAAAGAGCTAATATGCAAATTGTTGTCACACTGCCACACCTTAATGGCTCAGACACTCAACACTGGGGAGAGAGGAATGGGTATCAGCCAGGCTGTGGCCCAGGAGAGGGAAAAGCCGCCCACCCCATGGTTCTGGGCGCCTGCGGCTGTGGCCCAGGTGAAGCTGCCCTCCCATGGTCCCCTGCAGCTGCAGCTGGCCCAAGCAAAGCCGGCCCAGTCCTGGGTGCCTGAGGCCAGCCAGAGGAGGGAATCCTGGGTCCCAGGTATGGTGTGAGGCAGAGGCAGTTAGGGGCGATCAGGCAGGCAGGTAGGCAAGCGGTTAGGAACCAGCTGTCCCAGATTATGAGAGGCAGTCAGACATTCCCCGAGGGGTTGCGGATTGGAGAGAGTGCAGGCCAGGAAGAGGGACTCCCCCATGCACAAATTTCATGCACCTGGCCTCTAGTCTAATTTAATAAAAGAGCCAGTATGTATGTAAAATAAGAAAAACATACTTAAAGTTAATCTGGTATACACGGTTAAGAGCATAGGCTCTGGATCCAGACTCCCTGAGTTCTAATCCCAGCTTAATCTGCTAACCGCCTATGTGATTCAGGTTACTGAACCTCTCTGTGCCTCAGTTTCCCCATCTGTATAGTGGGAAATAATAATAGTATTTGTCTTGTGAAGATAAGTTAATACATGTCAAGCATTATTTGAATGATGCCTGGCTCATTGTCAGTGCTGTATAAATATTAGCTGTGGTCATTTCGTCTTAGGTTATCCATTCTGTTGCTGGGGAGGTACACTGTAACATGAAGCTGACTGTAACATTTTCATCCCTGAATTCATGATTCACACTTTCAATTTTTACCCTTAAGCTCTGTTCTCCCATTTATTTTCATATCCACCCATCTTACAGTACCCTGGGCTGTTGCTCTAGCACCATCTATGTAGAAGCAGCACTAAACCTGCCCCCAGCTGTAATGACCTCTCAATTAGTACAATCCAAGTCAGACTCAGAAATACTAAAAAATGTAAATGGAAATAGACAGCTTTCTTTTCTTTTGGGGATGGAAGGTGTCAGTCAGGAGCATAGCATCTCGAAAGATGGATGCCACGAAACACGTGCCATGATTTTCCCAACATTTCCATGGCAAGCATTTTTCAGGCTTGAGAAGTATCATTGGAGATGAGCTGTCCAACACTTGGACCCCTAGGCTAAGTTCCTCAGTTAGAACTACCATCTAAGCATTGCTGGATCTCCCAAGGGCCCATGATTAGGGAGCTCTGTGTTACAGGCATATGGAGCTGTTGGTGAAACTCTGGGGATGCTGGGCCAGACTAAGGTCTTTTGGGGTCTGACTTGATGGGCTCCACTAGTCTTGGCTTCTGTGATGGGGTGTGGAACAAACCTGTAACCTGCTTTCATCCCTCTCTCTGACCTCACCTTTCTCTCTCCTCCCTTTCAGAGTGGGATATAAACACAGGGAAGTGTCTGAAGACATTTAAACACAAAGACCCCATCTTGGCCATCAAGATCAACGACACCTACATCGTGAGCAGCTGTGAGCGAGGAATAGTGAAAGTGTGGCACATTGTCATGGCTCAGGTGGTAAAGGTGGGGGCAGTAGGCTGTGGAGGGAATGGGGCACTGGTGGTGATGAGTTGGAGGAGACTGATGGTGGCTCCCTAGACAACCTTGGAGCAATTGAGTTCCAGTCACCAGAAGGGCAGTCCTAAAGAACTGAAGGGGAAGCCCCCCCCCCAACAAAAAATGGGCTATTGACTGTTGGAGTGTCAGGGCCCATGTGGCCCATGCTGCCACGGGGCTGGTATCAGAAGGCTGCATTCTGATTAGACATATATAGACTCAGGATATTTTTACAGCAATAGATAATATTCTACCCTGATTCTGGCATGGGTAAGGGAAGGAACAAAGTCACAGTGGTTTTTCCCCTTACTCTCTGATGAGAATGTTGGCAATATTGAAAGTGACTGAATGTTCAAATACATAAAATGTTCTTGCTGGATTTGAAACCCCCTAGCCCTAGTGGGTGGTGGTGAGATATCATTTATGCCAGGAGCACAGGGTCACAGCTTTTTACCACTAATCTTGTTGTCACTGTGGTCTAACCAGCATTTGCAGGCACAAGGATGCCCCACATGCCCACTGGGTCCTGGTAAGGAGCTGGGGATGGAACATCTGGCCCTTCTCCTTCTGGCAGAAGAAGATGATGGTCCAGGCCCTCACTGGTACTCCAGAGAGATGGGCCTGCCTCAGCCACAGACCCACCAGCAGTCTTCTCCCTGATCCATTCGCCCTTCACTGGGGAGGGAGCTCTGGAGAGAGGGAGCCTTATAAGAGCAAAAGTAAAGTTGGCTAGCTAAATGCCAAGTGAGTAGTGCTCATGGATTGGTGGAGAGTGGCTTTGGAATTTACCTAAAGAAGCTTCCAGCTTTGGCCCTTGGAGGAGTCACACTTTGAGTTGACGATTGGCTGAACACAGGGGCAACTTTTCTTGCAGATTCTCAGCGGCCATGAGGGAGCTGTGAAGTGCCTGTGCTTTGACCAGTGGCATCTCCTCTCTGGAAGTGTTGATGGCCTAGTCATGGCCTGGAGCATGGTGGGAAAGTATGAGCGATGCCTCATGGCCTACAAGCATCCCAAGTATGTGCCAGGAAAGCCCTGTCTTAGGAATGTAGTGTTCCCTCCTTTTCCTGTGATAGCTGCGACCTTGATTTTTGGTAGATCAGTCCCTTCTTCTGTCTACTGACCTTTTGGCCCCTTTGATCCTCCCCATTTCCTTTTCTTCCTCCTCTACCTATTACCTACCACCCCCTCTATTTGGCCAGTCCCTCTACCACCCTCACTTATTTCTCTTAAGAAATAACAATACTAGATGTGAATTTAGAGAAATGTTTGAAATGTTATACTTATGACACACGTGATAGACGTGTGTCATTTAGTAGGATATCCGTTACCTACTAAATGTCTGAGTATTGGCAGAGCTGTCCCAAGTAATGCCAATTCTACTATACTTAATATGCTTGGAGTTGGCGTTTACCCCAGGAAGTTTGTGTTCACAAAAGCTTGAAGTGTTCCAAGTGAAAAGGTTTAAAAATAATGGAGGGCTTTCTCTGTTTGATATGTTTAACTTATATGTGGAATCTAAAGAGCAATATAAATGAACAAACAAAACAGAAACAGATTCAGAGAAACTGATGGTTACCAGATGTGTGGGGATAGCAAGTTAAGTGAAAAAGGTAAAGGGAATAATAACTGCAATTGGCAGTTACGAAATAGTCATGGAGTGGGGGGTGGGATATAAGTTACAGTATAGGGGATAGAGTCAATACTGTAATAACTATGTATGATGCCAGGTGGACACTACACTTATTGGGGGGTCACTTCTTAAATTATATAAATGCCTAATCACTATGCTGTACACCTAAAACTAATATAACATTGAATGTCAACTGTTATTGAAAATACTAAATGAGGGCTCAGAGAAGGAGCTTATTCCAGGACAATTCTATTCCAGGACAGACATGGATTTCATTTTACAATTCCAATCCCAGTGTAGTGGTGGTGGCTGCTTAGAGCCATTTGAGAAGTAGTCTGAGGTCACATTGGGGCTTATTTGGAAAGGGTATTGTGGTCAATTAATGGATCTGCCGTGGCCAAAAGTTTTACAGGCTGTTCTGTGCCACTCCGGTACTATGTGAATAATTCTTTTTCCTCTGAGTGCAATATAAACAATCGCAGGGATTGAAATGCTATTCCAATTGATTAAAAGAGTAAATGGATCTTCCAGGGGGATCTATCAGGGGATAGCTATTTAGTAAAACATGTCCCTAAATTTCCTTATACCCTCCAAAGAACTTCTTGGCAGGCACATGGGCTTCATAGGAGGTAGAAGGGGATTTGGGTATATATGTGTACTAGTGACTCGGTGCATAGATTTGTGCACATTGAGAGGAAATTAATTAGAAGGTGGCTGGTGGGGTGGGACTGGGCGAGATGGGCCAGACCCTTCGTGGAGCCAACCTCCCACCATCCCTCCCTGGCTGGCCACACCTGGGGTGGCACCGTAGCTCGAAAGGCATCTGCGGAATGAGTGGGGTGTTGGGGGGTCCCCTTCAACAGGTGGGGTCCCTCGGCCTGGCCTGCAGGGATCGGCTAAAACTGGCTCTCCAACATCCCCCGAGGGGTCCTGGACTGCAAGAGGGCACTCTGCAAAGTTACTGTCGTACAGGGTGTGGAACACAAATGCAAGTGTGCAGTAAACCAGATTTGGGGCCAACAGTGTCCAGCAACAACATAACCCACAGTCGAAGGTGGAATCACACGACCATGAAGACTCATGCTCCCTCCCTCCTCTCTGCTTCAGGGTACTTCACCTGAGAACCACCACTGCCAAGTCATTGCAGCTCGACAGCTCCTGCATTGAGTGTCTGCCCCCTGGTGGTCAGTGTGTGTCATAGCGACCGGTCAGATGGAGGGAGGGACACTTAGCATATTAGCCTTTATATAGATAGGTATCCTCTGTCTGTGATGCATGACTGCATTCTTGATGAGTGGGTGCTGAGAAGGGCCTGTGTTCGGTGATTTATCCAACCCTTAGGTGACCATCAGCAACTCTCAGCATGTCAAACCTGGACCCCAGGAAGGAGTCAAACCTGATTATGTCATCTGAAATTTGTAACTATATGTTTTTAAAACCTCCCAACCACAATTCAGTAGGATTTAGTTTAAGTATTGGAAAATAATTTGTTCCCAGAAAACCCAGCAGTTTAGTCACTATTCCACCAATCCATGAGTCTCCCACTCCACCTCAGCTATGAGACATTCTTAAACCATTGTCACTCCCATTGAATGGGGACCCCAACATTCCATTCACATTGGTTCTTGATGCCTTGCATAGTTACAGTGAATCCATAGACAGCTGGAGGACATGGTCAGTGCCCTTCTTTATGGGGTGCCTCCTCCTACTCGTCTCTTATGTACATATACTGTTAAGTACTCAATAAATATTTTCAATTGATTTTTAATAAGGACTAATTTGATAGATTGTCTTTCTGGAGAGTTGTCATGATTGGACTGAGAGCCATCTTTTGAATATGATAGAGGTGTAAAGACAGATATAGTTGCAATCTGTCTTCTCGACCTAACATTTTTTTCCTCCAAAATTAAGATTATGCATATAGTGAGGGAGACAATGGATAAGAGAAATAAAATTAGAGGATACAAAGTAGAAAAGATAGAAATGATGATTCCTGGAAAAGTTTTGTACTCTGTAGTATTTATTCTTTAATGTTTTATAATAATACATTTTTAAAATTTTTAAATAAAGATAGAATTTGCATTATATTAAAGTCATAGTGTGAAATTCAATGATTTTTAGTATATTCATAATGTTGTAAAACCATCACTACTATCTAATTAGAGAACATTTACATCAGTCATTGGGAATGTCCTCTGTTTCATTTCTGGTTTTAATGATTTCAGTTTTCTCTCTTAGTTTCTTGGTCAGTCTAAGTAAAGAATTGTCAGTTGTCTAGCCAAAGGTTTGCTCATCTTTTCAAGGAACCAACTTTTGGTTTCACTGATTTTTCTCTATTGTTTTTCAATTCTCTAATTCATTGGTTTCTGCTTCAAGCTTTATTTTCCTTCTCCGTGGTCCCCGTTTAGTTTGACCTTCTTTTCTAGTTTGTTTTTCTTTTTTTTTAGGTGAAAGTTAGGTTATTGACTAGAGAAATGTAGGCATCTACTGCTGTGTACTTCCCTATGAGCAAATTTTCCATATTTCCTTCTGTTATTCATTTGTAAGTTAATTTATTGTAGTCAAAGAACTTAATATGATTTAAGCTTTCAAAACCTATTGAGATGTGTTACTTGACCTAATGTGAGGCCTATCCTAGAGAAAGTTCCATGTGCTCTTGACGTTAATGTGTACTCTGCTGGTATTTGTTGAAATGTTTTGTAAATGTCTGTTAGGTCTAGTTGGTTCCTAATGTTTTTCAGGTCTTTTGTCTAGTTGATCTAGCCATTATTTAAAGTGTGGTATTGAAGTCTTCATCTATGATTGCTGAGTTGCCCATTTCTCCCTTTAGTTATGTGAGTTTTGCCTCATGCATTTTTGAATACTGTAGTTAAGTAAATATGCACTTATAATTGTTATATCTTCTTTTTTTTAATATATTTTATTGATTTTTTTACAGAGAGGAAGGGAGAGAGATAGAGAGTCAGAAACATCGATGAGCAAGAAACATCGATCAGCCGCCTCCTGCACATCCCCCACCGGGGATGTGCCCACAACCCAGGTACATGCCCTTGACCGGAATCGAACCCGGGACCTTTCAGTCCGCAGGCCGACGCTCTATCCACTGAGTCAAACCGGTTTCGGCTTGTTATATCTTCTTGATGAATTCACCCTTTTGCCATTATATAATGTCCTTTTTTATCTCTATTAACAATTTTGTTTGCAAGTCTATTTTGCGTGATATTAATGTAGCCATTCCAGCTCTTGTTTCATATGGATTATCTTTTTCCATTTAACCTCTCTGTGATTTTTATTCTAACGGGACTTTCTTGTAGACAGCATACAGTTGAATCATGTCGTTTTTAATCTTTTCTCCCAATCTCTACTTTTTACTTGAAGAGCTTAATCTCTTTACATTTAATATAAAAACAACTTATTTTACCATTTTGCTATTTGTTTTCTATAGTCTTTTGTATTTTTTGTTCCTCAGTTTTTCTTTTATGGTCTTCTTTGGTCTTAAAAGGGTATTTCCTAGTATGTTATTTTAATTCCCTTGTCTTTTTTTTTTCCCCTTTCTATCTATTTTGAGTTATTTTCTTAGTATTCGTCCTGGGGATTATAATTAACATCTTACTTTATAATAATCTAATTCACATTAATATTAACCTAATTTCAATAGTATGCAAAAATTGTGCTCCTCTCCTCTCCTTTATACTCTTATTATCAGAAATTGTCTTTATGTCCTGTGTATCCATCAGCAGCTGTCTTTAATGAGATAGAAAAAAGAGTTATAAACAAAAGATACATTTATATTGTTTTCTTATATTTACTGGTTCCTAGTTACCTTTATTGATGCTCTTTATTTCTTCATGTGGATTCAAATTGCTACTTAGTGTCCTTTCATTTCAACCCAAAGGACTCTATGTAGCATTTTATATAAGGTAGGTCTGCTAGTGACAAACTCTCAGTTTTTGTTTATCTGGGAAGGTCTTAATTTATTGATTTTTTAGAATGGTTTTGATGGATATGTAAATCTTAGTTTATAGTTATTCATTTTTGTTTCAGCACTTTGAATATATTACTTCGTTCTTCTGGCCTCCATTGTTTCTGATGAGAAATAAATTAATGTAATTGAGGATCATTTTCATGTGATGAGCTGCTTGTCTCTTGCTGCTTCCCATGCTCTCTTTGTCTTTTTACAGGTGATTATATGTTTAGATCTCTTTGAGTTTATTTTAATTAAAGCTTGCTGAGCTTCTTAGATGTGCAGATTATTTTTTCACCTTGTTTGTAAAGTTTTGAGCCATTATTTCTTCAAATATCCTTTCTACCCCTTCTCTCTTTCCGGGGCTCCTGTTTTGCAAATGCTGAGGTTTGATAATGTCACAAAGGCTTCTGAGGCTCT